GGGGGTTGGAGATTCATGGTCCTTGAGGTCCCTTCCAACCCTGGCCATTCTGTGATTCTGTGATTCTGTGAATATCCTCTGGTTCAACTTGAGGCTATTTCCTTTAGTCCTATCACAGTTACATGGCACCTCTCTTCAGCTAGTTGTAGAGAGCAGTGTCACCCCTGAGCCTCCTCTCCTCCAGACTGAACAATCACAGCTCCCTCAGCCACTTCTCATAAAGTTTATGCTCCAGACTCTTCACCAGCTTTGTTACCCTTCTCTGAACACAATATAGGGCCTCAGTGTCTTTTTTGAAGTGAGGGGCCCAAAACTGAATGCAGTACTCAAGGTACAGCCTCACCAGGGCTGAGTTCAGAGGGATGATCACTTCCCTGATCCTACTGGCAGCACTATTTCTGATACAAGCCAGAATGCCATTGACTTTCTTGGCCACCTGGGCGCACTGGTGGCTTATGTTCAGCCAAATGTCAACCAACACCCACAGGTACATTTCTTCTACACAGTCTTCCAGCAACTCTGCTCCAAGATTGTAGCATTGCATGGGCTGTTGAGGCAAATATGTGGAATCCAGCACTTGGTCTTACTGAACTTCAAACCATTGACCCCAGCCCAGCTGTCCAGCCTGTCCAGATCCCTGTTCAGGGCCTTCCTACTCCCAGGCAGATCAGTACTTCTGGACAACTTGGTGTCAAGTCTCGTCTTGTCTGCAGAGCATTTTGGTTGGAACGGAGGGCTGCCTTAACATAAGTATGCCACCTCTACTGCTGTATTCCCTTCTCTCTAAGGTGAACCTGAGTGTCTCTGAACTGTTTTGTGTCATAGTGGCATGCCTCTACAATGCCCTTTCAGTATAAGTTGCAGAAGACCACTAGAACTGCTGATGGTTTGTGGTTCCATAGCAAACTCCATATAGACAGGTACAATAAATAGTGTGGGAAAGCCTTGACCCACTTGTTCACAGTCATCAATTTTGAAAGCGCATTGAAAACAATCTGATTGGTTTGTTGCATATGAGGCAAGTATCTTTGTTGAAGATAAATAGTGATTAAAACATTCACTAACAGCTTTAGATAAAGCAAAACTAGTTATCTGATAGAGATGAGCTTTCTCAACTTATTATTATGAGAAAACTTTTCATTTATGGTCAAGTCTTCCCAATCCCACTCTTTCATCATAAGTTAAAGAAAACATGATTGATGTGTAGAAACAGCTTATGTGTTTCTCTACATCGTCTGCACTGCTAAGGGAACATTAGTCACCTCTCAAGATTCTTTGTCATCCTATGTTTGGCCTTTGGCAAATGGTGATATTCTAGTTGCAGCATCAGGCAAACATCTTATTACATTTCCATTTGTACTGATGTTTATTGATTCAGCTGGTTCTCACATTGTCCGCATGGCTTTAATGCTCTTCTTCCTTTGCACTATTCTTTCTCTTTTTTCCCTCTCTCAGAACAGATTTTCTGATGGAATTCAATGCTTTTATATTTTAAAGAGTAGGTGGGCTCATACTCCAGCATTGTCCCTTATCCATCCTGTCCTGTGCAGCTGTTTTCATAAAGTGTACTGATCATCTGGCCTCTGGTTCAGTATGCTGAGTCTGCTAAACCGTGGTCCTTCTTTTATACAGGAAAACCACTAATAAAGGCATCAAGAGCTACTGTGATCAACACTGAATTGCCTGCTGTCACTGCTGATATTGGAAGCACAGTGAAAACAATCCAAAGAACAAATGTTACCATTAGCTGCCAGGTTGCAGGTGAGAAATGACTTGGTCTTGTGTGCTATGCTTTCGGTTATGCAGTTCTTTGCTAAATTTGTGTCTCTGGGTGCAGCGCAAGCTGTGTTAAATCACAAGGTCTTTGTAGGACTCAGACAAATTTTTCTGCTTCCAGTAACTCCTAGCATAGAAGTTGCCCTCCTTCTTAACAATTCCATCAAGAACAGTGTAGAAAGATTCTTAAGAAAATTAGTCTGGGGCAGAATGGCAAGTCTCTTCGTCAGAATTACACAGCTTATTGTAGTTGCAACAAAACAGATTGGCCTTCTTACCTGTTGAGAGTGTTTGGGGAGAATATAGAATAAAGTCCAACTCATTTCCTCATTGATTGGACTCTTCAGGTACACTGAGAGACTTGGTAAATGTCTAAAGACCCCGCGTCAGATCCTTAATTCATTACACTTTCATGTATAATACAGTCAGAAAGAGGAGAAGGAAGCAGCTTACAAAACACAAAGGGAGCTGTGCTCAGTGTTGCACAAACATCTGCTATGTATGACTGCATGACGTTTCTTGCTTTACTTTCTCATCTAGTATCTACTTCAGATGATAGCAAATAAGTATCTGCACTACAAACTTACAAATGTCCTGCTTTCTTTATGGCTCCAAGCTGAGTGGTGCGGTTGACACGGTTGAAGGAAGGGATGCCATTCAGAGGGACCTCGAGAGGCTAGAAAGGTGGGCCCGGGTGAACTTAATGAGGTTCAACACGGCAAAGTGCAGAGTTTTGCACTTGGGCCAGAAGAATCCCAGGCATCCATACAGACTGGAAGGAGTGGTCCTTGAGAGCAGCCCTGTGGAGAAGGACCTAGGGGTCTTGATAGATGAAAAACTTAACATGAGCCACCAGTGTGCCCTTGCGGCTCAGAAAGCAGATGGTATCCTGGGCTCCATCAGAAGAGGGGTGGCCAGCAGGGACAGGGAGGTGATTGTCCCCCTCTATTCTGCTCTTGTGAGGCCCCATATGGAGAACTGTGTCCAAGTCTGGAGCCCCCAGTACAAAAAAGACAGGGAGCTGTTGGAGAGGGTCCAGAGGAGGGCCTCGAAGATGATCAGGGGACTGGAGCACCTCCCCTATGAAGACAGGCTGAGGAAGCTGGGCTTGTTCAGCCTGGAGAAAAGAAGGCTGTGGGGTGACCTCATTGCAGCCTTTCAGTACTTATAGGGAGCCAACAAACAGGAGGGGAAACAATTCTTTGAAAGGGTAGATAACAGCAGGACGAGGGGAAATGGTTTTAAGTTGAGGGAGGGAAGATCTAGGTTGGATGTCAGGGAGCAGTTCTTTACAGAGAGAGTGGTGAGGTGTTGGAACAGGCTGCCCAGAGAGGTTGTGGATGCCCCATCCCTGGAGGTGTTCAAGGCCAGATTGGATGGGGCCTTGGGCAGCCTGGTCTAGCATTAAATGTGGAGGTTGGTGGCCCTGCATGTGGCAGGGGGGTTGGAGATTCATGGTCCTTGAGGTCCCTTCCAACCCTGGCCATTCTGTGATTCTGTGATTCTTTGCACTTTCTGCTTACTTTACAGAGTGGTTGTGAGTTTTCCTTCTTCAGGTGCTGCCAAAAACACCATTACCCACATTCTTATGTCCAAGGAGTGTCTGAGAATCCCTTCTTCAGCAAAGTATGCATGATAACTGTGCAAGCAGGCTAGGTCTCGAAGCGTTCATTTCTTTCAGTGATGAAGTAAAAGTACAGGATCATTTTTCCAATGGGGGAGATCTGCTTGATCAGCCCTGCAGAGAAGAACTTGGGGGTCCTGGTGGACGAGAAGCTGGACATGAGCCAGCACTGTGTGCTTGCAGCCTGAAGGCCAAGTGTGGTTTTGGCTGCATTAAAAAAGAGATGGCCAGCAGGGAGAGGGAGCTGATTGTCCCCATCTACTCAGCTCTCATGAGGCCCCATCTAGAGTACTGCATCCGGCCTGGGGCCCCCAGCACAAGAAAGACATGGAGCTTTTGGAACGGATCTAGAGGAGGGCCACTGAGATGATCAGGAGAGCTGGAGCACCTCTCCTATGAAGAAAGGTTGAGGGAACTGGGATTGTTTAGCCTGGAGAAGAGAAGGCTCCAGGGAGACCTCACTGTGACCTTCCAGTACTTGAAGGGAGGGCATAAACAGGAGGGGGGATGGCTGCTTACGAGCGTGGATAGTGATAGGACAAGGGGGAATGCTTTTAATCTGAGACAGGGGAGATTTAGTTCACATATTAGGAGGAAGTTTTTCAGCCAGAGGGTGGTGACACACTGGAACAGGTTGCCCAAGGAGGTTGTGGATGCCCAATCCCTGGAGGCATTCAAGGCCAGGCTGGATGTGGCTCTGGGCAGCCTGGTCTGGTGGTTGGTGACCCTGCACATAGCAGGGGGGTTGAAACTGGATGATCATTGTGATCCTTTTCAACCCAGCCTATTCTGTGTCTCTTTTATTCTATTATTCTGTTATTTTAAGTTTAATGTTTTTTCTTGCCATCTCTGCATGGCCACTTGCACTGACAATGAGCATTACCAGAGTGCAGGGAAAAATTTTGTATTGCTCTTTAACTTCTTATGAATGGCATACGCATTGTCAAAATCTATGTTCTGGACTGAGATCTAGATATTAGTTGTAAATCAAGAGAAAGAAAAATTATCAGATTAGTTTGCCTCTGATCTGAATTATCTTGGACTTAAACTCTTTTCTCGTTATATAAGGAAAATGGTGTGGTTTTCTCCAAGCTTGAAAAATCAGTCTTGTTGTATTTATCATGATTTTGCCTCTTCACCTATGGAGGCGAAATGTTATTTTTAAGACATAACTCAGTGGTATCTTGAGGTCCCTTCTAATTCCTGCTATTCTGTTGAAAATGATTGTGGTAAAGCTCAGACTTCTCCAAAACTCAGGCTCTAACAGTGCACCCATCAGAGTTGTCATCACAGGCAACTCTGCAGCTGCCTGACCTCCAGCTTTAGAATTTTCCCTAGTTTTCATAAAGCAACTGTGTTACTGGAGTAATTCAAATGCAATAGTCAGTCTTTCTTCCATATAGGATGCAGGAGCAATTTGGATCATACCAGTGTCATTAGGAAGCTTTTTGTTGACTTCAACACTTAAGGCATGGAAATTCTCACTTGGATACCAGAAACTTCAATCAGCCAGGCCCTAGTTGTTATTGACAGTGGAATTAGATGTGAAAAGAGAATTCTGTTTAAAAAAATCTTATTCTTAGAGCATTTCTCCATGGTATCCTTCAAGCTATAAAACTTCTAATAGAGGCACAAATCTGTAAAGTGTCATGTATCATTAGCTTTGTTGAGTCAGAACAGATTTTCAAGAGTGATTTAAAATCCTTCTCTGTGTATCCTTCAGGTTTTTCATCTCTCCTATTTCTTCTCTGTTTCATCTATATGCTGGAAGCTGTATTTTTCCAGTTCTTTCCTTGCTTTATGGTCCATATTTGTTCCTCAACTGTACTAGAATCTAATATATGTCATAATGCTGTTGCAGGAAGTTATCACTGCTAGATCAGTGTGTCATTATTCCTTTCCCCAGAAGGTCATGTTTTAATAGAATCATCCTGATTGATAAGCATGTTTCTACTTGATGCATACTCCAGGTAGCCCTTGCTGTGCTGTATGTGTGTATAGTGATGGAAGGAAAAGCTGAAGAAAAATAAATATTGAGAAATTATTAACTGTGTAATCTCTTACGTGCCCAGCAAAGTGAGGCTTGTTTCCATCTGGCATCTCTCAGGCTTTCAGTCTCTGTGATTATTTCTGCAAAGCAGATGCACTCAGCCTTCTGTCCTCTCTTGTTTAGCATTACCCAAGATAAATGATTGAAATGCTCTTGCTACCCCTTGTGGCAATGCACTGTAAAAACGTATTTACTTGTGCCTTTGCTGGCTGCCTCCAATTCTTGTCTTGAAATAGTTGAGGCTTATATGTTATCAGAGATGGAAGCACAATGGAAAATGAGTCTGCTGCTCCCTTATATTCTTTAAACCACACTGTAGGAAGATGGTACAGGTTGATTTCAAGTCATCTTTGTTTAGCATAGGAGCTTCACTTTAAAGACAGAGGAAGAAAACTCTTTGGCAGTCAGAGAAGGGTTATTTTAGAGGTGATAGACATCATGTAAGTATACTGCATCTTTCATAAACTGGACAAAAATACATTGGCCTTTACTCTTAACCCCTTATTGGTTCTTCTAGAGTAGTAAATACAAGAAGAACCTGCCTTTCTGTATTAAGATTATCTGAGCGGCTGTCTCTCAGATTAATTTTTCTGTCTCTCTGACTTGATTTATTTACTTTAAGTCTCTGATCCTGAGGACTGTTCTCTTGAGTTTTCATTGTCCCTTTCCCTCCTACTTTACACCTCGCAGCACTCTTCATCCCCCTTGTTTTTCCACTGTTTCCACTTACTTTCCTTTATTTTCAAGCACATAAAATCTTTACCCAAATCTTCAAGTTGGAAAAAAAGAAAAGCTCTGGGTTGAACTGAAGAAATCTAAGTTTTATAAACCTGGTACTGATTCATTATACTTCTGTGCCAAAGTTTGTCAACAGTTATAATATGAAACTTTGCACCATAACAAGTTCAAATTGCGAGAAAGAGTGATTCATCCCTTCTCTAGTGTGGCACTGTGAGGAGGAGTGCTGGGATATGAGTGTTTTTCCAACTCAGGCTGCAGAACTGGAAGAGTTTCCATTTTCTTTTCTTGTCTCTCTAGAACACACCTCTTAAACTTCCTTTGCATGCAGTGGAAACGCAATAAACACATGGGCTTGAAAAAAACTCAAGGTTTGGTGTTGTTTGCTATCTAGCAGTTGTCTGAACTCTCCTGAGAACTCTGCCTGGATGCTCTGGAATAAATCAGAGCATGATTTTAAGTGGTGGTCGGCCCACCCATGCCACATAGGTCAAAGAGTAGCAACCAGATGGAGAGCTGTGTTCTGGTCCTTTCCCAGCTGAGAGTTCAGAAACAGGCCAACAGACCAGCCTTTTTAAAAAGTTGTATTACAGAACCATAAACAAGGGTAAGCATTTGGAAAACCGCATCACAGACAGAAATGATTAATACCTTTGAAGAGTCCGGATTGGTTTGTGTTATGCACCCTCAGACAAAGGTGAGAAAAATTCTGCAGTTTTTTACAACTTATTTCCTGCTACTTTCTGAATGTGGATGAGACTCTCTGCCCTTCAGACCTTCCTGACTACCAAGCTCAGATGTACTCATTCCAGATGTCTTGGCAGAGTCCACAGGTAATTCTGGGAGAGGTGGAAAAAAGGCCGGAATGCTTTGATGTGGAAGAACAGGGAAAAACCTCTCTTTCCCACTTCCATCTGCACATGCTTAGTGAGGAACCTCCAATCATCCAGTCACTACAAATGCAGACAAATGGGTGTCATTCATAGTGAGCACAGACAAAAGTGTTTCTGGTGCCAGACCCAGTGCCAGAGCCACAGAAGTGACAAAGAGATTGGCTTTTGATTAGTGATGTGGATGTACAACCAGTAAGATACTGACAGTGCACAGAAGAATGTGTTGCTGTAACTAAGGCAGGAAAAGATTTAGGTGGGCAACATATACTTAAGAATAGCTGCCTGTAAGTATGCCCTTACTCTACAGTAAACACGAAGAAACTACACATTCATGTAAAAGAGCTTAAGTGCCTCCTACTTATGGAAGATGCTGCAGATGGGAAGCTGCTCCAGCAGTTAATGCGGTTAGTTCCTCACAGCCATGGGTCCATAAAGTAAATGTTTCCTTCCAGGCACTACTCCACATATCTATCCCACCTACTAAAATTTCCAGTTCTGTTAATGTAAACCAGTTGTTTACACTGAATTGCCCAATCTAGTACGCATGTAGATTGAGGGAGTTATCCCTATACCGAGGAAATACTTTTCACTTCAAGATCAGCAGTCTTGCTAGCTTGTGTCAGAGTACTTTCCTCCAAAAGGGTGCCCAATAGAGATGAACCTTAGATCAAAGCACATTAAAGAAAGCAATTTTTCCTGTAGTGGGTTATGAATCTGCAAAAATTTGTTGTCTGGACACTCCTGGCTAGACAAGTGAAACTGTATTTCTGAAGATGTAAATGCTAATTGTTTGCCTTAGTTCAGAAAGGAAGATTGGAAGAATTCATAGAAGAGCAATCTCTGGAGGGTTCCTAAATGCACAGAAATGCCTTCTGGCTGAGGAAGTTCCTAAGCTGAAAGTAGCTGGAGGCTGGAAGAGCAATAGCAAGAAGCATTGTGTATACTTGTCCTCCTCTTAGTCTTCCTGAGGCACTAGCTTATGTCTGCTGTTGGAGACAAGATGCTAGGCTAGATACTAGGCTTTGTTATCATCCAATACTGACTTGCTTTTAAGAGTGATGAGTTCAGAGTTTACTTTTACAACTTTAGAGTATTAAAAATGAAGACAATGATAAAGTTGACTAGACAGTTTGGAGCTGCAAAAAATGTCAGTTGAAAGTCATGTTAAAAGCTTATTTTAATGGCTCTATCTTAAACATTTTGTCTGTATGACACTTCAGCAACCTCTGTGTCTTATACGTGTTATGTGTTGTCAATGTTTTTCCAGGTGTTCCTGAAGCGGAAGTTACTTGGTTTAAAAATAAGGTCAAGCTGTCCCCTGCTCACCACCTGCACGATGGGTTGCTGCTAATTGCAAATGTTTCTCTGTCGGATCAGGGGTTATATTCCTGCAGGGCAGCCAATCTACGTGGGGAGGTAACTGAAAGCTCCCAGCTGTTGGTTCTTGGTAAGTACAGGGTATTTTGCTTGCGAAGCTATAGGAATATAGCTGATGGCCTAATTAGCCTTCAGAATTAATCAGAGGACGTGAAAAGAGGGAATGACATAGCAGCAAAGGACTACCCCTTCCAGGGCAGAGATATTCAGTTTCATTATTTCACACTTGATGGTGAAGAAAATGATTTATTAATTAAGTGATTCTCTTGAAATGAGAATGATGCGGCTTGTTTTGCTATGTTCTGCTTCAATGAGCAGCATTTCTTGTACATAGCTGTGTGGTACTGACCCATTTTATACCAAACAGGTGCATAAACACAGTGCACTTTTGAAAAACACTTCCCAAGTTCAGTAAAGGATGAAGTTTACTTTTCCTTGAGTTTTAAATAACAAGCATAAAGCCATTCTTGGTGATTTGAAAAGACAATGTCAGCTGTGAAGTATGGGTAGATGTGTTATCTGGCGATAACTGAATGTGTGAGAAAGGGCTTTCTTTCCTAGTAACTCATCTCTATCATATCTCCCTGATGAATGATCCAACCAGACATGTAAATGCATACATTTGATGTACATTGCACATGTGAAGTAACAAACTCTGAAACCTACTCCATGCAACCAGTACAAAATCGTTAAGTACCCAGTGCAGCGCTTGTCTTTTGTGACTAGAGTGAGCATAGGTCCTGCAGATGAGGTAGCTTACAGTTTTAAGGTGAGTTTTCTGGCAGTTTCACAGGTAACTGTAAAACTCCTTTAATAGTATTCATAGGATTTCACTTTGAATCCAGACTGGCCTCTAGAAACTCAGTCTGAAAAATTCTGGAAAAAAAATGATCAGCTAGGTTTCAGATTATAGATCAGAATTCCTATATGAATTAAATTAAATTCTTTTCTAATCTTTATAAATGCCATAGTTTTTAAAGATGCAAAGTTACTCTGAGTTATGCAACCTGCTTATGCTTTCAGGTAATTCATATTTTTAGTTTCTTGATGGAAAGAAATTGTTCAGACATCCACAACTCATCACTCTGATGTTGAATGTGCTCAGCAGCAGAAATCTTGCTCTGTTTGTGCTGTGGTCTTGTTGAAAAGCAGTGAGGCCATTATTCACTTAAATATTCTGTAACTTCTATGACAAAAAAAAATTGGGAATGGTAGGCAACACAGTCAATTTTTTAAATAGTGTTATAGCTACTGGAATGACAAAATCCTTCAATTCTCAGTGTAGAGTGATCTTCTTGAGCTCTTTGAGCTTTTAGTCCTTTGGAGCTCTGCCTAAGTATACCACAGGATTTGGCAGGGTTCTAACTGTATTTAATCAAGGCTTGATCCAGTTTGTAGCAGACATTAAAAAGTTTTGCACTGACTACCATGGACATTTATGTGGTTTCTATTGTGTATAAATTTGTTCTTTCTTCCAAGCTGCTGTATCTCCTGATACACTCATTACATTTGAAAAAGTACAGTCAAACAGAATGCAATGGTAGCCTTTAGACAGATTTTTCTCTTGTTTTGTAGTCATATGGATCAAGATGCTGTTTTAATACTTTCTCTTGTGTTTTATCTAATATCAGGTAAAGCACGCATTTAGTAGTTGCCCAAAGTTGCTTTTTGCTATTTGAAATTATGTTGCAGCATGGCCACTAGCACAGCAGTCTGTAGTGGTGGTTTTTCTTATGTCCTTAAGATGTTTTCTGCTATGGTGTTGCTCATCACTTCAGTATCCTAATCTGTTACCAGAGCCTCCACGACCCCTTCCTTACCTAGAAAATTTGACAGCAGTGCTTTCCAGCATTGGGACCAACCCTCCTTCAGTGCTGACCTCTCCTTCAGGAACAAAAATGACTATCAGTCCAGGGAGCTCTGCTCTAATAGGTAAGCTTTATGATTTGTTTGTTTGTTTGTTTGTTTTTAGATTAAAGAAGTCCTTTTATGTTACAGGGTTAGATTATTTTTGCAGCCTGCTGGCTGTCTGGCCATGGAGTCCATTGGCAGTCATAATCATTGCCAACTTGTTTCAGAACTCAGAAAGTCTTTGTTTGAAATTCATTTAAAAATGGCAGTCCTCTTATTAGTGTTATCCCCCAAAGCTGCCTGCAGAATAGGGTCTCCACTGTGCCACACTTAATAACATTCTGTAAGAAGAATCTGATATGAGGGGCTGGCAATCTTGTTCAACACAGGACGTGGAAAACTGATGTATCAGTTGATCTAAGAGAATAAATATTTGTGGTTCTACTTTTCCTTCTGCATCTGTGCACTGCTTTTTCAGTCTGTCTGCTATTCATACTCTGTATTATTGTATGTCCTTCTTCTCCAGAGCATTATCTGGAGCTTTGCCTTTGTTTTTTCTCTTACAAATTCTCTTTTACATCCTGTTCGTTTTATTCTTCTTTGTTATACCACCTAACCCATGTGTGCACAGAGCCATATAAGGAGGTAATCCCTGGCAAAATGTTTTTCTTGCTTTCTCCATTTTATTCTGCCTTCCGCATGGCTTTCTCATCCCTGTCTCCATGATAAGTGCAGTAAACTCTTTTCATATCAATGGACACAGTTTGTTTGCAAAGAGAATCTTATTCTCTTTTAAAGTTCAGAGCATGTTTATTTTAAAATTTATTTTCTTCCACTGATCTTCAGCCCCTGCTGTCAGACAAGCAAAGAGCTTCTCCAATAGTTTTGTTAATACATATTCTGAAATCATGTCAAATCCTGTGGTTTCAGTACAGTCTTATACTTTCTGAGATAAGAGTACAAGTCCTCCAGCAAAGGATCTGTAGCTGACTTCAGTGTTTAGAGCTCTGGTATCTGTACCTTCCCAACCATCTTAACTAACATTTAGTAGCAATTTTAAGTAGAGGCTTTCTATTTATGTTTTCAGTTTTGTAGTGTTTACTGCTGATATCTGCATACATTTGCAATAGCATTTAGTGTACAGCTCTGGATTACATTTCTACATGTCCAAAGACTGCAGCAAAATAGTCCTTATTGGGAAAAATATCTGAAGTTATTAGCATTGAATAAAGCAGTTTGAGTAAGCTTTATTCTATTTGTTATTTTAAAACCGGGTCCTACTCCCGTTTCATCCATTCCCTCTCATGTTTGCAGAGAAATCTTCAATAGTTGTAGGGATTTTTCACTGTTTGAAAGCTGTGCTTGAACTGCCAAGGGTGTTCTGCACTGCCTGTACATAACCTTTACATTTGTCCATGTTGCCGGGTACCCTGCCCTTCTGCTTCAGAGGCAAAAGACTCCATGAATCTTAATAGCAAGATAGCTAGCTAATTTCCTTCTCGATGCATATCTCTCACCTTCATTAGAGTTTTACTGAGCTGAATTTAAGGTCTATATTATTAAAACCTGGTGAAAGTTCCTGAGAGATTTATTCTGTTGAAAAACTCAGCATGGAGTGGGCTATCCAATCAGTTAGAAAGCTACAGACTAGTGCCAAGTTATATCATCAAAACAAGGCTATGTCTGAAGAGGCCAGCCCTTCATTTCCATTTACTAGAAGGGTACGCTCACCTTCACTTGTCTCTTCTGCCCAATGTATCTAAAGAATCTCATCTTGTTGTTTTTCACATCTCTTGCCAAGTTCAATTCTAGCTGCACCTTGGCTTTCCTGACTCCATCCCTGCCTACCCAGACTGCATCCCTGTGTTGTTCCTAGGCCAACAATCCCCACTTCCACTGCTAATACTTTTCCTTTTTATCTCTCAATCAGACAGCAGATCCATGCAAAGACATGCTGGTTTCTGCCTCCTGTGCCTGATTTGTTATTCTGGGGGATGGGGAGTTCTTGCACTCTCAGAAAGACATCCTTAAAGTGCTGCCAGCTCTATTCTGTTCCTTTGTCCCAAAGGACAGTTTCCCAGGAGATCTCTTCTAACAATTCCTTAAAAAGTAATTTTTAAAAAGAGTCCTGTCTCCACTCTTTGCCCAGCTCACATTCCTCAAGATCACAAACTCAACCAGGCTGCCTCCAATCTTAACTTCTTTTACAATCTCTTCCAAACTGGTGTGCGCCAGGTCCAGCAGTGCTTCACCTCTATTGGGTCTGTCCAAAATGGACAACAGGAGTCTCAAGGACTATTTACAGCTTGCCATATTGTTTTCCCAGCAAGTGTCCAGGTGGTTGAAATCTCCCATCATGCCCGAGAGCATGATGCCTCTTGCAGCTGAAGCAAGAAGGCTTCATGAACAGGCTCCCCTTTATCAGGCTGCCTGTAGTAGACTCTGACCACTAGCTGTCCTTTTTTGGTCCTGTCCCCTAATTTTAACACACAAGCTTTCTATCTGTTCATGGCTGTTTCTCAGGGGCAGTTCTTCCAAGCCTATCCACTTCTTAACATAAAGGGCAACTCCCCCACCTCTCCTACCTCGCATATCTCACCTATAAAGGTCACAGCCCTCAGTCATGGTATTCCAGTTATGCAAATCATGCCACCATGTTTACATGACAGCAATAAGACTGTAGTTCTCCAATTGTACCATGGTTTCCAATTTCCCATGCTGCATGCATTGGTATAGAGGCACTTCAGCTGGGTTTTTGGCAGCATTACTGTCTTTGAGAAGCCCTCCCAGAATCCTCTGGAAAAAATCTGGGGTTTTCTACCACTGCATCCTAAAACAACAGTGTTCCCCAACTCTCCTCTGTTGCTCAGCAGTACATCCCCTTCCTCTGTCAGATCTATTTTAAAGCCATGGTAATGAGCCCTGATAGCTTGCTGCCCAGTACATTCATCATAAGATGCAGAATGTTGAGGGCCCCTGCTTGCACCTTGTTCCTCTAACTTAGCAATGCTATCCTGCACCTTGTCATGGGCAGAATTGCTATCACCCCTTCCCCTCTTTAAGCACTGTCAATGAGCCCAGACAGCTCCTGGGCCAGAATTCTTTTCCACCTATGGCCTTGGTGGATCCCATCAGCAGCCATCAGCCCAGGA